AAGCTTTGAAATTTTTGTGGCAAATCGGAATGGTGTAAGCTATATGATTCAGTTATGAGCAGTTTAAGTCAAAAAATATTTAAACTGATTCATATTAATGGGCATTTTCCCTCGTCTGTAAGCCTGGTTTAAACATTTAAAAATACACGACCTTTCAGAAGTCTATGCCTGTGACGGAAGTAGACCCAACTTCTGAATCGTCGTTTGTTTTTAATTTTTTTTAATTAATATACCGAGGAAGGTGACCAAGAATATGTACCAGTTTAATGGTACACCGTCGTAAAAAAAATAGAGAGAAAAAATATAAAATTACACAAGGAATACCTTCGAAATTTTTATTCACAGTCGTTAAATGAAGAAGTGAGATACACTGTCTGGACGAAGCTTTCATGTTAACCGTGTTGGGTAGCCGCAAGTGTAAGCCTCAACTGGCTGGCTAACTGTGCATCTGATTGTTTCTGCTGTGTTATGAAGTGCCACTGAACCACGAAAGGAAGAGGACATCCTATTGTTCAACATACTGTAATCTTAAGCATTTTTCCTTCTTCACCTGCAACTATTTCCTATTAGTGTCTTGTGTCACGTGTTTGTCAGCTTTGGTGGTATATAAAAACGTTAAACTAAACTGTGTGGCTTTTTATGTGTGTGAAGTTTGTTATTATTAAAACACATGAAATAAAGAAAAAAGTCAAATGTCATTTAACCACAGCTTAAGTGCTAAATATTACGTCTGCAACAAGTTGGATAAAACATTAAAACTGAATGTTGCAAACACACCTTTCACTAACAAATGTAAGGATCCTTGTAGAATGTAGTTTAAATTTTAATCATTTTATTAATATTAATTACAGAGGCGTTTTAAAATGTTCGGATTTTCCGTCGGTTTTAATTAAATATGTAAAGTAGATGTCTGGAATTAATATTAAAGTAAGAAAATTATAAATGATGCATAATCAGAGCAAGGGTGTGGTATGTTATAATGTACTTAGTATATGTCAGCAGTGGTGAAGGTATAATTATGAAGCGCTCGTCGTCTAGGTACGGCCATCAAAATCACGTTTGTTTGAACTACCTGAAGGTGGGTCAGAGCTGGCTCAAATATGTGAAGTGAGACACTGGTAGAACAGTGAGTTATGTAGAAGTAAAAATACTTTTTATCACAGAAGACATTTTATTCTTTATTTTTCAAAATTCAATTCTTTCTTCGTATGAAATTCTGTTCGGAAAATTCTACTTGAAGAAACCTCTTAGGAGCTACAGATGCAGTTGATTGAATGTTACTGAATTCTTGGAATGGTTTGGATTTTCTCAGTATAGGGTTTATTAGTGAGCTGTCATTAACATGGTAATTAATGGACGAGATTCCAAAAATGTAGGATATTTTGACCACTTCACCGAAAACCATGTGCCGCGAGAGATAAACCATTTTTATTTTTTTTAAATGGGGACTGAAGAAGAAAATACACTGCTATCTTTTTTCTCCAGGTCTCCCCTTATTGGCTGACACCACACACATGCTGTTAGACATGTATCGAGTAGCCACGTACACCAAAACTTCAAACTCATTTGATTTGCCTCATTTCAGTTTTAAAACATGTACGTTCTATAAAACGACCAGATTTGGTCCGTACACTAGCAGCCTTGCCCGTATCCGGAAACTCGCTGCTAAAGAACGTAGTGTATGTGGGCTTTAAAGGAACCTCTCAACCGTAGTGTATGCAAGAAACATGTAATGTTTACAGGATCTTACAGTTTTCTAAAGGTCTATGAACACGATTCGATTATCCAGCTTCGTTTGTTTTATCGAGTAACTCTTTCCATAGTTGGCAACTAACATCGCGCCCACTTCTATGGAAATTACAATTACAATTCCATTGCAGACGAAGATGTAGATCGTCGTGAAATAGAATTTGAGTTCTCCGGTTCCCTGCTTGCTTCTGAGTCAGTAACTTCTACTTAGGTTGTTTTACTGTGATTCCAGACTTTACCATTCCTTTGTCCTTTTAAATGCGTTTCAAAAAAAATTATTTCAATCATGTTCGTCTCTCTGTCCGTCCGCATGAATTGGCGCCCAAATTACATGACACAAAATTTAACATAAGTAACAAACGGAGTTTTCCTCATTGGCATCCCAACAATTACTCCATTCACACACAGAAGAAGGCAATGGCAAACCACTTCTGGATCATCTGCCAAGAACGTATATGAACAGGTCCCAGTCCGAGAAAAGAATCGAAGGATCCTGTTCATATGGACCTGTCGTTAGACAGAACACTAAATAAATATAAAAATAAATCAGAGGAGCTGAGAAAAATAAATTGGATAAACTTAAATGACTAACTCCACTGGGGACACTAGCCACTGTTACTGATAATCAGGCTCAGCTATTGAAATACACTTTTTATCATTTAATAATGTTCCATCAAGTCTGTTAAGGACCACGTCGAGATAGTAGCGTAAAATAGGTCACAACCGACTCATTTCAAAATCGTTCAACATTCGTGATAAATTTCCCATGCCATACAACGCTACAGGACCCAGTCCGAGAAAAGGACGGAAGGATCCTGTTCATATGGACCTGTCGTCAGACAGAACACTAAATAAATAAATAAACAAATTTATGTAGATGTGCCTTCCTGGCTTTCATAGAAATGTGTCCTGTTGATGAGATTCAGTTGCTTGCGGACGGACGGAGGTGACTAAACTATTATGTGATTTTAAAATTTTTACTTTTACTCTGTGCAATAATCATCCATTTCAGTTCCTCTTACTATTTGGGAATATTCCACGCGTTGTGCATTAATGAACGCAGATTTTAATGCCGTCCTAGGCGTTCATTTGCCAGTTCTTGCTCGTAACTGCTGTAGTCAAAGATTATCTAAAGAACTGAGATAATCGTTGATTTATCATATGAGTATTATGTTGGTATTGTCCATTGTCAGATGTGTGCATCAGATATCGACGGCATTTGGAAAAAATCTGGCGAGATTCCAGGTTTTTATGGCGACAAGTGTAAAGACGACTTTGTTCTGTAATGTTGCGGTGTGTAGTCTGATGATGAAGGCAGCAAGCACTCCTGAAACGTTGACCAGTGTCTGCCAGACTATACGACGCAACATCCCAGAAGACGGTCATATTCGGTAAAGAATCTGTCTGTATAATGGCAAACAATCACATGAAGACGAGAGTAGAGCCAATTGTTGAAGCACAGTGAATTGTAACTATGCTTCAGGCAATGACAGAAAGTGGACAACATAACATTGGTAAGTTAAGAGGTCGACACTATTCTGCGTTATATGAAGTAGGATTTTTCCTCTAGCCTCTGCGTCCAGACCGACTCTGGGGCCCACCCATCCTCCTATCCAATGGGTATCGACGTCCTTTCCCAGGGGTAAAGCGTGGCCGTGGAGTGACGCTGAGGGAGCTATACTACCTCTCCCCCTAAGTGCCTATATGATGTGTAGTGGGACAGTCTTACTTTTTTACTTGACTTTTTAGTGTGACGACGGTAATGGCCCGTGGTTAGGCCTACAGCTGTGGTGATGACGTCATATTGCTCTCCGTGCGTGTTAGCGTAGCATCATAGAATAGCTGCGAGTTTCCAACAATTGTGACGTCGTCCACACGACAAGTTGTTTGTCCATATCAGGAATCAACTAATCAGTTGATAGACGACACTTTCAGTTTTAACCCGGAGACTGACGATTGCTTTACGTCTTGGTCTAAACATTTTTCAGCCTAACATTTTAATTAATTAATGCTTTTATTAAAATATAAGAACACGTACTCTAACCTTTGTAAGATTATATTTCACGCAGAAATATTACGAGTAGGGTCATGAATGCTAATCTTATCCCTGCTGACGTTTAAGACATGTCAACTTTCATCAGTGAAAAACGATAACCGATAGTCTGAATTCCCAGTAGATTACATATCTTCCTTTTAAAAACCATGTGAAGAAATGCCTGGAACTTGTTTATAAGAACAGTTGTTTACAGACGTGATATATCGTTTGTAGTACGGATAGGTGATAGAGGTATCAAAATTTCTCGTTGACTGTTGGGATTCGTTTCGTCATAATAATTACTGAATTGAGCATATTAAAACCTCGTAACAGAATTGTACAATAAACTAGCCGTTAATTGGGTTTGGCTGGGAAATATATTTTCCCGGATAACACTGGTCAACACGTGAAATGTTATGAACACGAAACTAACCGATCTTGACTAATTTTAGGCTGCTGAATACGAAAATCGCATTAACATTTATCGATTTGCTCCTGTTTTCGAATTACGGTTGGGTCCTCATATTAGCGAGTTACTCTACATTATCATCAGTTATAGTACTTCTTATCTTATTACGCCGTCTTCTTGCGAAGGTGTAATACTACCACGCTCTTAAAACGTGAAAAGTTGTTGCCGCCTCTAATGCATCTTCAACTCTTGCAGTATTTGTTGAATCCAGCCAGGTTCTGGGTGATTTGTTCTCAGTTAACGGTTCTCTGCGAGATTCCTACTTCTTGCGCACTATTTGTGTCGCGTAAGATTAATATGCCCCGTAATTGTGTGAATAGTCTAGATAACTTCTTTCACGTATGTGGAGAAGTCACGTTTCCTCCAAGAAAGTGTACGTTAACTAAGCCATAAAAAAGGTTTACGAATTGTACTTTGGGTGTAAAGTAGGCGATCAGGACAAGAACTGGGCTCCACACATACGCTGCACTACCTGTTCATCAAAACTCAATGCATGGGTGAATCGTAAGGGACGTTCTGTGCCTTTTGCAGTGCCCATGGTATGGAGGGAGCCAACAAATCACATCACAGACTGTTACTTCTGTATGGTGCCTCCTATTCGAAAAGGGGTGACAATGAATAAAACGTGGACAGTGACGTACCCAAATATACCATCTGCAATTCGCCCCATGCCTCATGTGAACTACTACCTATTCCTGAACCACCTGAAAATTTTTCTGTAGACTCTGATGAAGACACTGATGATGTCCATGTTGAGCTTGATATAGCCTACACGAAGAAGTACAGCAGCCGTACACGTCAAGGGATCCACCATTTTGTACAAGCCTCTATCCTTCTGAACCACATAAGATCACAGAAAGTGAGCTTAATGACCTCATCAGGGATCTCGAACTGCCGAAGAATAAGCCAGAGCTTTTGGCCTCGAGGCTACAACAGTGTAATCTTCCAGTTCACTCTGTGAAAGTGACATTTCGTACTCGAAATAAAGACTGTGATAAATTCTATCAAACAGAAGGTGAACTCACTGACTTCTTATGGAAAACTGGGGTGCAACATGTCATTGAAGATGCATTTCTTGCACTCACACCCGGATTTCTTCCCGTCAAGCTGTGGTGCCATCAGCGACGAACATGGTGGGCGCTTCCATCAAGACATCTCAGTGATGGAACAAAGATACAAAAGCAAATGGAGTGCTGCCATGTTAGCCGATTATTGTTGGATGGTGAAAAGGGATGCTCCAGAAGCTAAATACAAGCGAAAGGCGAAAAGGCGCTGTGTTTGAAAAAGGTGTGTTCGTAACTATATCTTATTGCCATATAACTAAAAAATACCTTGTATAAATATAACAAAGTAGTTTTCCGAAAACAAGAGCCAATCTGCCAATTTAAGCACTATTTCCATGTTTAGCACCCCAAAATCTATAAAGTAAACTTACTTTCATACCCATAACAAGAAATGACCCAAAATTTGTTGCACGGTGTAATCGAAACCCCTGATAATCCGCAAAAATGAAAGAAAAACAGGCATATGTAACAAATAAGTAATTTATTTTGCAGACGTATACTACTTAAATTTTTGAAGATTTACTAACAAAAAAGATTTTATACATGTTACAAGATAGTGCATACCAATTTTTTTTAAGATAGCAATACGTTCTATTGCCGTAAACATCAGGTTGTAGCAATAATTTATTTGTTATTACGTTAAATAATATATCATTGTTGCATTTATGCCTTTTTAAAATTTCTAACTTTTGCAATCGATTTTCTGATTTTATTTATTTATTTATTTTGTATGTCTAAACCAGATAATTCAAGTTTAATCCACAACCCGGATAATCGTCGGTCTACTGTATGTACGATTAGGCCGACTCAACCCTTCATGTTCACAGCCATTAAAAATTCGCCTCTGTGAGCGATTTCCGTCGACTGAGTACGTGTGCCGTAAGTAGAAAGCGCAACAGGTCTGAGCGATGGATCGGCGCTGGGTTATCCCTGTATTGTTAGCACTTGGGAGATACCGCAGATCGGTCGATGTACAGTCTGGAGGTGAAAACAACTGAGTGTCGATATTCTCTGAAAAATTGCTGTCTTTTTGAAGGCCTGCGGGTTTAGAGTGAAAATTACTGAAGCGTTAAGTGAAGTACTGAGGTGTGAATTGAAACCAAAATGTTTATACTCTGCTGGCAAATAAATTAAGAGAGTAAATAAATGAATATATCAGAATTGCACAAACAAATTTCCGATGTTAAGTGGCGTAACTTGGAAAACTAGAAGAAACTACGAAACAAATATTTTGTTTGCCAGTTTAATTAGATGTTCGTGTTCGCACTCGTGTATTAAGGGATAAATGCGGACATTAACACGTTGACCAAACCCATGGCGATGTGTTTTGAGAAGGATTCAAGACCCTTTGAAATCCCGCAGCTGTACAGAAAATTTTGTGGGGTTTATAAATCAATAATTGTACAATTCACTTGTCTATTTTTCCGTTCATAATTTTACTTTATTACCGATTCTCATCATTTTGAAGTTGTTGGATATAACCTCAAAGTTTCGAGCCTTTGACATGTTTCTAATTTCTTACGCGTAAGAAAAACTTCCTTCAAAATGTATAGGTTATGTAGATACTCTCTTTACTCTCTCGTTAATATCTTCTCTGATACGTTAGTTACGTCTTCTATACGGAGAGCTAAATGTTTGTATTATATAGGTAATTAGAAAGTTCGTGTATGAAATATCCTCCAATGGCATTAATTTGAAGGTTGTAGTATTTACTTGAACTGTACAGAGTTCCAAGAAAATATTTGGACCTAAGAGAAAGGAATAGAAATTACATAAGGATGTTCGTAACTTGTAGGCTACTATTCACCGAATATTGTTAGAACTTGGGACACCTAGATTAAGAGGGAAGGATAATATTAAAAATTATATTAAGGAGTAGGGTTTTAGGATGAGGATGAATTAAGTTTGCTTATGGTATAGTCCATAAAAACGGGAAATTTCTTGACGAGCCGAGCGGCGATCAGCTTTCTAAGAAAGACTGTCCTC